GCAGGCGCAGAGGCCGATCCGAAGCAGAAGCTGCAGCAGGTGCCATATTGCACTTACCAGGTTTATTTAGGGGAATAAAGTGCGACATTATGTAGGGATATATAGGGATATAGTTATAGAGATACACTTGGGATATAAGGGCTTAAGAGCTCAGGGCTAGAGATAGGAGAAGAACATGGAACAATGAAAGGGCAATTGGGGCTGTATAGTAGAGACAAACTGAAGCCATAACCAGGTGATATCTTGTAGTCTCATATGTTACCTTTATAAGTAGCGGCTGTTGAAGACGGGGAGCAGGGGGCGGCAGGATGCCATCAGGGTTTCGGGTAGTGTTTTGGACGATGAGTGTTTCGAGTTGCGGCTTGGGTTTTTGTTGAAAAGCAGGGGCTGAAAGGCTTTCGGGAGATATAGAGTCGCTGAACTGGATCACGATGGAGATTGCGATGCCCCCTTCGAGCAGCGCTTAAACTAATCTCGAAATACTACACCCTTCACCCTAAACTACTCAAACCCTGAGTTTTTCATCCTAAGCCGGGAACCCCACAGGCTGAGCAAGCGGAGTCAGAGGCGGAGGTCAAGCAGCCGGGCGCCCACGGGTTGGGGGCTTCGGCTGACAAATGATCGCCTGCGAAGACGTCCATGTCGACATGCACAGTAACATGGAATCCCTCCCGTCCACCCTGGATTGACCATCCGTGACCCCACCAGACATGAATCTGCTCGTCTTTATTCTTTGCTACTACCATGCGCAAGATGCGATTTTGGGCTCGCAGGATGTTGCACTCCTTGAAACATCCCTCAGCCATATCGGCTCGCTTCCAAGACCTTACATGGTACACAGTTGTAGGACAGTGTTTAAAGTTTATGTTCGTCAGTGCAGTCGACTGGGCCCTAGGCCGACCCCAAACAGTTCACTTCGGGTAAGCGGCCCCTTGAAATCCTCCCAACATGTTTCCAGGACTCTGAGAACCCTAAGCTTAAGCCTTAACCCCAAAGCCCTGGGCCCGGTTTTGATGAGGATTCATCAGCTTGGTCTCAGGCTTCGTGCATAATGTGGCCTATAATACGCTTTTGGAACCCTGGAAGCAACTTTTCTCTCCGAATTATGCGCAACGGCGTCCCGACCGCTGAAGCACCGGTGCTTTGTCTTCGATCTTTAACTATCCGATCTGATCGGGTTGCCGGTGTAAGTTTAACGGTCCTGCCGTTGAGGGTTTGACGGCTGTGCGGCTTTGGGATCCTGGGGAGAGCATTGAGGTTTCAGGGCTGTTGGTCTTTAGGATCTTGAGTGGAGGGGGATGGGGGTTGTGGGTTTTACCGAGGTGGGTCGTGTTTGCAAGTAGCATCTTCATTGGTGAGAAGCTGAGGAATTGATGCAAAGAACAGCAGAGGCACGGACGGGTTCTTCCATGAAAGGTTTCGCAAGTCTCTGCGCGGCAAAGCACCAGCCCCAAAGGAATGCGGGAATGTTTCGAAGTTACGGCAGTTAAGGATGCAACATCAGATGGATTGTAGCAGATGGGACAACAGATGCGGATCCCGACGTGTGAAGAGTAAAGGGGCAAAGCCAATGCCTGAGCGCGATACCGAGCAACTACAGTTCATTTTGGAGGCCGAAGCGGATGGGACCGACGCAACGGAGGCACGGCTTCAAAAGGTTTGGAGCCAGCTCGTTCGTATTGCTATCGCGTGAAGGATGCACTTTCCTCTCCTCTCGCTCACTCTCTCTCTCTCTCTCTTTTTTCCCCCCTGTCTCGCTCTTCCTCCTCACTTTCCCTCGCCTCCGCGGTGAAACTCGATCGTGGGAGGCCCAACCGACAGCGACGGAGGCACGGATGCCATGGGTTTTTTCTTCGAAAGTTTTCGTGAAGTCGTTGCATTGCCAAGCAGCATTGCGGCCTTAAAAGACTCGATGGCGAGAGTTGAGTGTGGCACAGATCTCGCAATGCTGAATCAAGCCCGCCACCAAAGTCTCTCTCTCTGTCTCTCTCTCCCTCTCCCTCTCCTCTTCTCTCTCTCTCTCTCTCTCTCTCTCTCTCTCTCTCTCTCTCTCTCTCTCTTTTTCTAGACTCTCCAAAACCTGCGAGTTTTCTGCATCCCGGCCACCTACCGACCTACAAGTAGCGGTGGCTTCGCCACGGAGGTCTGGCGGCAGGCTGAGCCGTAATTCAAAAATGGAGGAGCACGAATCTTGACAGATCCTGACAATGCTTACTGACTTAGATCACGACATGTGAAGAATACAAAGGCGCAGCGTTAGAGCAAGACCGAACGGCTAGTATACTCTGGAGGCCGACACCGTTGGGACAAACACGACGCGGGCACAGAATTGGACGGTTTATGGGGTAGCTGCGTAGGATGGTTCCCCAAAGAAGTAGCGCAATCTTGGGATGCCCAATTGTCGACAACGACGCAGGCCCGGACACGCAGCATCTTCTTGGGGAGGTTTCGTGAAGTCCGTGCATCACCAAGCAGCAAGCGGTATAATGGTAATTGCAGCTTTAAGCGCCACGAATGCAAGAGTTCAGATCTCACACTCCGAAACGAAGCCCGTCACCTAAGTCTCCCTTCCTCTCTCTTTCACTGTTTTTTTCTCTCTCTCTTTCATTCTCTCTGGTTCTATCTCTTGTTGTCTCTCTCTCACTCTCACCCTCTCTCTTTCTCTCTCTCTCTCTCTCTCTAACCTGTCTCTCTCTCTCTCTCTCTCTCTCGCAACCTCTCGTCCATCATTTGCCTACCAGACATGCGATGTTTTCCGAGCTCCAGGCCCTTGCGCAGCTCAAGCCAGGGCAGGACATCGAAGGCAGGAGCAGCAATCTTCAAGGTCTACAGCCTACAGCCTTGTCACATGAATTCGTCAGAAGCTTGGGTCAGAAGCTCTGCGTTCGCGTCGATAGGCAGATGCGGGGAGATGATGGTGATGATAATTCTGTGATGTTGATGGCGGTCATGACCGTGATGATCAGATGGTATATGTGCATGGGTGTCTGTGTGTGTGTGTGTGTGCGACCAACCATCCGCGCATCTGTGTTTGCCTGCATGCATGGTGCATGCATGGATAGGATGGATGGATGGCTAGCTGGGTCTCTGGCTGGCTGGCTGGATGGATACATGGATAAATACATGGATGCATACATGGATGGACGGACGGATGGATGGACGATGGATGGAAGGACAGCGTATGTATGTACATATGTATGTACGTATTATGCATGTATGCATGAATGCAGTTGTGCATGTACGCATCTATGTCTGTGTGAGTGTGGGGCATGTATATGTATGGGCCTGCCTCTAACAGTATATAATTGGCATGCCTTCTTTACAGGTTATGTGTCAAGGGTCTGGGGTCGTCATTCATAAGCACCAACAGACACTTATTTATGGGTCGATTATATAGAACAGACACTTGTTTTAGGTGCGCACAGACACTTGTTTTGGGCCGAACAGACACATATTTGGGGGTTGATTAGACCAGGGGTCCAAACAGATTATTTAGTGGTTTTTCTAGCGGAACAAACACTTATTTGAACCACTGATTCGCGGCTGATTCTGGCAGAACAGACACTTACTGTATTTTGAGGGAACAGACACTTATCCGGCGGCGATACGTGTTTGTCCCGGCAGCAAGCAGCCACTTATCCGGGGGCCAATAAGTGTCTATTTTGGGAGAGAACTGCTTTGTTTCGCTGGTTTGGAAAGACTTGGTTTGGGGACTATTTCGTCGCCCCGTGCATTTCTTGAGTAGCTGGCTTGGGTATCGACTCGTTTGGGGACAATTTCGTCTCCCCCTACATGTCTTAAATCGATAGCTTGGACAAAAAATGCTGTGTGCTCTTTCGTTGAGCGTTATAACTCTTGAAATACTAACTTGAAAGAAGGATTTGTTTGGGGACAATTTCGTCGCCCCGGACATGTCCTGAATCGAAGGCATCCAAATCAGATTCATTTGGGGACAATTTCGTCTCCTATTCCATTCGTTAACCGCCAAATTGCAATTGATTCTTTAGGCGAGAACTTCGTCGCTCCCTACATGTCGTGAGTCGCGACATTGCAAAATGGCTCGTTTGGACATAATTGCATCGCCTCCTGCATGTCTTGCATCCTTACCCTGCAAAAAAGGATTCGTTTGGAAACAGTTTGGACTCCAGTGATATGTCTTGAACCGAAATCTTGCAACCAGGTTTCGTTTGGTGACATTCTCGTCGCCCCCCCAACATGTCTTGAAACGTTCGCTTGAAAAGATGCTTGCGCGCGCAAAGTATCGTCGCTCCTGTACAGTATGCATGTACGCACGCATTTTCTGTTTGCATGCATACATGCTTACGTCGCTGCGACTACATTCGACCACGCACCCCTGAGCGCATGCAGCGTGCAATCGCAACTGTAACCAGTCATGATAATTACCAAGCATGACCTTAGTCGCAGCCTGTCTTCCAGAGACGTCCTTGTGTCCCCTGATCGGGCTTCGGGGTACTGAAAACCAGAAGAGTTTGGGGTGTAAAATTTATTGCAGACACGGTACCAATGTGTTCATGCAGAGTAACCGTGTTGAAGGTTCGCGGTCCTTCTATGCGCTCGTTCGGCACACATCTGTACCAAGCTGCCAGGCACCATCGCCCGAGTGAACCCGGAGTGCCACGTCTGGAATTTCACGCGCGATTGTTCGGCTTTCGCGCCTCTCTCTGTCAGATCGTTCCATCAGCAGGTACGGTCTGTTCATCAACATCGGCTTCGGCGTTGACGCTGTTTGCGCGCCATCTCAGCTGGACAAGCCGATTGAGGAATACAAGGCGGGCGGTGGCACACCAGCCAAGCCAAATTTTGGCAGCGGTCGGATGAAAGAGAATCAGGCTCCAGTTTTTGTGTGGCGTAAATTCGCGAAGATCACAACTCCAAGTCCTCTCCAGCGACAGTCAGGAATCCAGGCTTCAGAAGCCTCTCGAGCCACTCGACCTCCTGAAGTCCTTAGGCTCTCTCCCCAATCGAAACAGTCTTTTCCGATGCAGGAAGGCGACAAGATCAAAGTGAAGGTGGGCTTTCCTTTGCTTGCGGTTCACAGTAACCATCGCAACGATGTAGGTGGACGTTACTTTCAGGTGGCCAACGTGGACGTGATGAACGAGCAGATCGCAGTCACCACACGACCCCTGGCGTCCTTTGCCCAGGAACCTCCAGCTAAATCCAGTCCGACTACCGAATGTAATCAGGCTCCTTCTAGCAGAGAACGACTGACTCCAATTGCAATCTTTGTTCGACAACGTCTGACTCAGATCTCATTTTTTCGAGCCTGCAAATTGGTATGTCATGAATGTAAATGTGTAGATGTACGTATGCATGCAATGCATGCATGTCTGTCTGTCTCTCAGTCTGTCTGTCTGCATGTATGTACGTATTTATGTATGTATGTAGATACGCAATACCGTACCTACACACACAAACAAGCACAAACATGAATATATACATGCATACATCCATATGAATTCGTATGGTCAGGGCTCCTGTTTTTCTCATCCACCATCCCCAGCGCTGTGGTGGGACACCGCCTCCCCGCACCTCAGGGTGCTCACGATGGCACCGGGGCCGGGGGAGATACCATGCGGGCGGGATCGGGAAAGCGGAACGCGGACACAGACATACATGTCGTATATATCTGCGTTGTTGATGTATGTGTTTGTATGTATGCATGCATGCCGATCAGTCTGACATAAGTGTACGCTTTGGCCAGGAAGTAGGACTGGGATGAACATCGTTACAGGGTGATTGTTGTCAATATGGCTTTCCAGGACTAGGGCCAAGACCAAGAAGTCGCTGCACTTGTCTCCCAGGTCCCAGGCTAAGGTCGGCGAGAAGGTGGAGGGCACGATGATGAGCCAGTCGCAGGCGAGAAAGCCTGGAGAAAGCAGCCTTGCAAGCCGAATCATCTTAGCCAAGGGTGTTTATCAGTTTTGTCTGCCTTAGGTTTCATTCTGGTTTAATTTGAAATCATAGTATTTTTTGCTACACACCCCATGACTTGCGGTCTCGAGATGGAGGGTCTCTGCCTTGTACCGGAATCGTTTACCCCAGGCTGGCATTTTCTTCGATGCCGGCTACTCCGAGCACTTTCTCGCCCCAGACAACCTGCTCCGCCAGATTCTGAGATGTGGTGGATTGCTTGCGATCATGCTATCGACGTCCAGCCTTGAGGCAAGCCGAAGGACGAATACACAGGTGGCGAGGTCAAGACCCGAGTACAGATTCCACGGCACGCTGCACGTGAAAGCTTACCAGAGAACAGCTGACAGCGCTTTTGCACGAAAAGCATTGCAGGCTTGAGGAACCAGCATAGCCTAGCTGTCTCGCCGTTTCTTGTGCGTCGAATGCTGAGGTTGCTGATCTGACTGTAATGCAAGTGGATGGAGACCGCATCACGGTGTCGGACAGGGAGGTGCGCACAGCATGCGCTATGTGGCCTGATGTGCATGTGCCGCGCTTGATCGGGTTTGCAAGATGTTGCAACTGGAGCAGCACGACCAACAGCAAGCCAGGATGTGGGCAAGCCAATCGCAACCTTCGTCCACGGTCAAGAGGTTGCTGGAAAGGCCTGACACGAAAGTGCGGGGCAGCCTGTCAAGTTGGTGTAGCTGGAGAAGCATGTGCCCTGCAGTTTCGAGCTGCCTTTGTTGACCTCTTGCACCTGGGCCGACTGCGTCAAGACTTGTCTTTCATCGCTCGTACTTGTGTTTGCGTCCAAGTCCTGGGCTCTCCACAAAACTCATCTGCCATCTGCCCCTTATCAAGTGCCCGGAACGCGGAATGCCCCGTTCTTTGGTGACACACTCAAGGCTCTGCTCTCTGCAGGTCGTCCGCTACGTGGACAGCCTGGGCATCTGGATGGACATTGGAGCTTCCCGGGAGCGCTGAAGATGAGACTTTGTGAGACTTTGAAACGTCAAAACAGGCTTTAGACACTCTTCAGGATTTATCGATCATCTACTCCTGTATCTGTGTGCGCTTGCATGTGTCTTCGTCCCTTTTTCTACGTAATTACATGGCTTGATGGATGCGTGGGTGTATGCGTGGCAGGATGCGCTTTGGCGCACGAAGGGGCCAGGCGCCACAGCACTGCCCAAGGATCCTCAGGAGTCCCTCTGAGTGCTCTTAGCGCTCTTTCCTTCGGAGCTCTGTGCCCTTTGGCCAGGAGTATACGCCCGGTGAAGAGGCTCGAGCCTTCTTTCATCGGTTTCGTTTGGGCAGGGTCCCTGTCGTGTTTTGGTGCAGCTTCCATCGTTGTGCGGGGGTCAAGCCGAGAAGCTGGCCTACAAGGTTCGTACTTGGCAGGTGTCTGGCCTCATCATCACCCGCCTGCATGCCGCAGAGCAGACCCTGGAGGCATCGGCACCGGCACAGGAACGCAGCGGAAGGGCGCAGCTGTGATTTTTCAAGCTTTTTGCCGGTGAAACTGCGGACAGGTTGCGATGTTCGGCGCCGAGATGGTCGCGACAAGCCCGGGGCCCTGTGGAGCTTGGGTCTGATTCAGATGTTTTGGACGCTTCTTGAGCTCATGGCTTCGGGAGTGCCCGGCTGAGGCCTGTCGTCGGAGATTTTGAAGGCAAGGGATCCGGTTTCGGAAAGATCCTCGGCTTCTCTGTCTCTGTCTCTCTCTCTCTCCCTCTCTCACTCTCACTCTCTCTCTCTCTCTGTCTCTCTCTCTCTCTATCGCGTGCTACCTCCCAGCTCTCATATCAAACCTCGGAGCCGCTTCTGAGCTTTCTTCATTTCTTTCACCCTGGCATCGCCACGGATCTCGTGCAGCATGCCGCGCCGCAAACTACCAGAACCCGTAAAATCCCGTAAAGCCTCACAGTGCTTCGTCCCCCCGGGGACGACGATCATCTCATCGAACATCGCTCAGTAGTTGTAGTCGCAATGGGCATTGTGAGAGGGCTCATCGGGGATTGTGAAACGGACCCATTTTGCAGCGAGTACAGTGTGTGTGTGTGTGTGTGCCTAGTTTTGTACAGTGTTTTGACAGCACCCCTTGACCGCAGGGCCCTTGGACCAAGCCTAAGGCTATGGCGAACAGTGACTAGTCTTCGCACTGCTAGCGGAGCTCTCGGTTAAGAGAATGGAAGCTCGAGCCCAATAAATAGGACGCCCCGTGCGCGGACGTGGTCGCAATGGCTTGTGGATCGCTTGCCTACCGACCACGTCACGATCTGGACACAAACCTGACGAAGTTCGGCTTCCTGGTCTATGCCGGAACCATTCGTGACGTTCACGAATGGGAGTTCCGAGCTATGAACCGGTGGAAGCAGACACAGGTTGACTCGGAGCTCGCTTCCAAGTTTCTCGACTCCTTAAGGACCGAGGCGTACATCATCGCCGAAGATCTGGGGACAGACAAGGTCGTGGAGGCAGTAAGGCAGAGACTCTTTCCTCTTGGTGAGCAGGAGTCGAAAGAGATGCACCGCCTCGGCACGCAGGTCGGCCGAACGTTGTCACGACAGCCAGGTGAGCCGATGGTATCCTATATAGATAGGAGGAAACTTGGCTTAGAAAGCTTCAACAGCTGGACAACGACCTGTTGCTAGACAACTCAGGCCTCAACTGCCAGGAAAGGTTGATGGTTCTGACGGCGATAGGTGGCTCGACAGCCACCAAGGACGCCGAAGCATCTCTGATCAAAATGCACAATCGCATCCACACTTTGGAGCGACGCCGTAAAGGATACGGTAAAGGATCCCAAAAGGGGACCGCGCATACATACCTTTCTGCGGTGGAAAATCTCTTCTCCACAACTACCCGGACGAGGACGACGAAGGGGCGGCCTACCTGGGCGGAATGGAGGAACCAGACGACTGGGTGTACCACGGGGACGAGGTTCACATGGACGACAAGGAAGACGACACCGAACTGGTGGCCCAGACAGCCGGCGCTGCCCTAAAAGACGTCGAGCTGGACGTCTTCTCTTCCCTCCTCTGCTCCGAGGGGTTCGATGAGAACGACCGCGAAAGCTTAGCCTTGCAGAGCGAGACGGCCGCCCGCATGGCGCGAAGCAAGGCTAAGGGCAAGGGCAAGCCTGTGAGCTTTGAAGGAGCGCACGGATGTCGCCCGAGGGCCACTGGTCTGGCGACAAGGAAGGTCCGGCAAAAGGCGCAGGAAAGCCAGCAGTCGCACACCTGCACAGGCGACTCGTGTGATCGACAAGTCCAGCGACCTTTCAGGAACTCCCAGCCTCTTCGCGAGCGGAAGCGAGAGTCAGAGATTCAAGCCTGAGGCGACGGCGAACTATGTCAGCCTGGGGCAGGACTCTGAGACAGAGCCTGCGGCGTACGTGCGCTTCTTCGACACTATAAGGGCGACTTTGACGAGTCCGACGAAGAGCTCGTGGATGACTTTGCGTCGCAAGGTGCAACATCCACGGAATGGGATACTGTAAAGTACCCAGAAAGAGTTTCGGTTCGGGATGCACAAGGGAAGCATGTACCTTGAGGGTTGACAGAGGCACCCAGACTATATACTGGCGCTGGGGCCTCAAACAGAAAGAGCCGAGCACCATGCTTGAGGCATGGCTTATCTGGGTGAATCGGAACTTTGATGTTCCTGCTTGTCGGCGGGGGAAGACCGACGCTCCGAGCAGCTACGTCGTGGAGGCGGACTCGCTCCAGAAGGCGAGGCGAGTGGAGAAGGCACCGAAGAGCAAGCGTGGGTAGCAATGCACGTTCAAGTCAACATGCATGCTGTGCGGCAACCGCACCTCAGCTCCCAGGCCAAAGGCTGCACCGATGACGGACCCGAGCGCGTGCCCGCATGCTCGCATGGACAACCGAAACAGCACGAGATCGGTACATCGCAACTTCTGCTTGGATTGTTGCACAGTAGTGCAGGAAGCTCTTTAAGTTTAAGGAGCAGAAGGGTTTGGCTGAGCAGGTTCAGCAGTCCCCGCTAAAGGTGCAGTTTGAGGAGTACATTTTTACCAAGTTTGAGGCACGAGACGTGGTGAAGAGGTTCTTCAAGCATATGGACAAGTTTGTTATTGAAAGTTGATCAAGTCACGTCAACCGAGTTGTCTTTGTTCCCTAAACGACTTCGAGCTGGACGTTTTCTCTTCCTTTCTCTGCTCCGAGGGGTGCGATGAGAACGACCGCGAAAGCTTAGCCTTTCTTGCGCACGTCGCGCAGAGCGAGACGGTCGCTTTCATGGCGCGAAGCAAGGCTAAGGGCAGGGGCAAGCCTGTGAGCTTTGAAGGAGCACTGGCCTGACGATACCAGTAGAAGACCGCAAGACCCGTGGCAGGAAGGGCCACTGGTCTGGCGACAAAGAAGGTCCGGCAAAAGGCGCAGGAAAGCCAGCAGTCGCGCAGCTAGCACAGGCGACTCGTGTGATCGACAAGTCCAGCGACCTTTCAGGCACTCCCAGCCTCTTCGCGAGCGAGGGCGAGAGTCAGAGCTTCAAGCCTGAGGCGGAGCCTGCGGCGTACGTGCGCTTCGCTTCTTCGACACTATAAGGGCGACTTTGAGGAGTCCGACGAAGAGCCCGTCGACGACTTTGCGTCGCAAGGTGCAACCTCCACGGAATGGGATACTGTAAAGTACCCAGAAAGAGTTTCGGTTCGGGATGCACAAGGGAAGCACGTACCTTGAGGGTTGACAGACGCACCCAGACTGCTGTCACTGGGGCCTCAAAGAGAAAGAGCCGAGCACCATGCTTGAGGCATGGCTTATCTGGGTGACTTGTCGGTGGGAGAAGACCGACGCTCAGAGCAGCTACGCCGTGGAGGCGGACTCGCTCCAGAAGGCGAGGCGAGCGGTGACCCGTGAGAAGGCACCGAAGAGCAAGCGTGGGTAGCAATGCACGTGTGATCAAGTCAACATGCATTCTGTGCGGCAACCGCACCTCAGCTCCCAGGCCAAAGGCTGTACTGAGACGACGAGGAACGTCACGAAGATCCATGTGGACAACAGGAGGCACCCGGGAGATCCATTAACGGACTTTGACAAAACGCAGATGAAGAGCATCGCTGGTTCTTGGGCTTGGTTTGCAAACAATGCAGACCGGACCTGAGCTACAGGGTATCCAGGATCCAGTCAGCCTCTAGCAGCTCTAGCAGTGGGGCCGTTGCGGACATCAAGGATGCCAACAACGCGGTTGAGTATGCTATTGGCACGTGCGACAGAGGACTTGTGTTCAAGACTGGTTTGTTGGACTGGAAGACCCCAGGAGCTTTGATGAACTTGGTGGTCACGGACGCTTCGCACGCGAATGCGTCCGAAGAGATGACCATACATCAAATTTCATCTGTGGAAGGACACCGGAGCCAGGGAGCTAGGAGCTAGGATGGTGTTTCTTACTGATGGCGCCCTGTGGAAGCGGGACAAGGGTAGCATTCATCTTCATCCCATCTTCTGTGCGACAACCTTGTTCGAAGGGTTTGTCGCTCCACCATACAGGCAGACGCATACACACTTCAAGCAGGTGTGGAGGACGGTGACGTGCTGAGAGCAGCTATCACCGACATCTTCGGATGTCTCGATATGAAAAGGTGTGAAGCTACGTCGGCCAAGTTCGTGAAGGAGATCTGGATGACAGACTGTAAGAGTCTTGAGTTGATGTTTTCGAATCCGAAGTGTAATAAGCCTCGGTATCGAGATCGCGTCTCTTCGCCAAGAACTCTGGTGCAGGGCCGGAGCGAATGCTGGTGACCCTTTCTACGACGACTACACGCCAGGGGATGATCAGTTGACTGACATCGTCAGATGGATTGACACTGACGTCATGATTGCCGATCCATTCACAAAGGTCATGGAACTTACCACGTTGGTAGCGGCCTTGAGAACTAACATGCTGGACGTGGAGCAACCGTTCGAGGGTGTAGTGGAAAAGCGTGCAAAGCAGCTTCGAAGACGGTCGACGAGGAAGGTACAGGACGACGAGTAGAGCTGTCGATCCTACGAGGCAAAATCTCACCACACTGACGCTGTAAGAGTCATGGGTGTGAAACGGACCCATTTTGCAGCGCACACAGTGTGTGTGTGTGTGTGCCTAGTTTTGTACCGTTTTTTTACAGCACCCCTTGACTGACGGGGACCCTGGGACCAAGCCTACGGCTGTGGCGAAAAGTGACTAGTCTTCGCAGGGATCATCCGACAGCCATGAGCTAGGCGGCTATATAGTCTATAGTCATGAGCACGGTAAGAAACCCCATTTCTAAGTCATGGGCATTAAAAAAAGAGCCTATGAGGACACGGGCACTGAGAGGGCCCGCGTCGGTTCCTTGGTGGAGCATCCAATAAAATTGGAACGATCGGTAAGAAATGGGCACTGTGAGAAGTCCCCACAACATGGGCACTGCGAGAGGGCCCATGTCCAGGACACTGTTGTGTTTGTGTGTGGGTGTGGGTGATGTTTTGGAAATGCTCATGTATTGTAGCATAGTTTGGGGGATGTTCATGGGGATGATCGTGCCCAAACTGCAACGATTGCCGAATGTGTCGGATAGGCAGCGACGTGGCCATGGTAAGCTTACAGGTTACTCGATTGATTCGCGGCCCCTCTGCGATGAGGACCCCAGTCTTGATCCGTTGTGTTTCGGGGTTAAGGAATAAAGGTGGTTTTGATGGTCGCGAATTGGACAACTGATGCTGGTCCCAAAGTTTAAAGAAGTCAAGGTGCTAACGCTGAAAGCGAGACCGAACGACTACCCTGGAGGCCGAAACCCATGGTACCATTACGACACAGGCACGGAATTGGGCGGTTTATAGATTTCGTGTATGTGTGTTTCTTCCCGCCTGCCCGTTTGTGGTCCTCTCAGGTTTCTGGCTCCCCCCTCACCCGAAGCTGTTGTCCTGCGTAGGATAGATCCCCCAAGAAGTAAAACAAACGCCACAGTTTCTTCTTCGGAATGTTCCGTGAAGTCCGTACATCGCCAAGCAGCAAGCGTCAAGCGTAATGTATGGGCATTGCAGCTTAATCGTCTCGAATGGCCGAGTTGAACGGTGGCACAGGTCTCACAATCCCAAACCAAGCCCGTCACCTCAGTCAGTCTCTCTCTCTCTCTCTCTCTCGCTCTTTCATTCTCTCTCGTTATATTTCGTTATCTTTTTCTTTCTCGTCGTTTTCTCTTCAGTTTTCTCATCTTCTTTCTATTTCTCCAATTCGCTCTCCCCTCTCTTCCTAGTTTCCCCTGCTCTGGCTCGAAGCGGCCCTGTGTAAGATATCTCTCCAAAGAAGTGTTTAAAGCGATCGTCGCAGGCCCAATCGACAACAGTGGAGGCGGGTTGTTTTTCTTTGGAAGGTTTCGTGAAGCATCGCTTTCCGAACCTCGCGAGTTTATCTGCATCCCTGTCACCTGGCGACCTTCAAGCAGCTGTTGCTTCTCAACAGAGGTCTGCAGCAGGCTGAGCTGTAATTAAACAACAGTGGAGCATGACGATGAAGCCTGACAGACTCTGAGCGCTTCTAGACATCACTGTGTGCGAGTGGATTCGGGACTGCCCTTAATTCGAGCACGCTTTCGATCCAGCATCCTTTCGCAGGGCATGCAGTACGGCGGCGGCCTCTACACAGGCCATTGCCCCCAGTAAAGCTTGACAGTCAGGAGCCCAAGATAGACCCAATATGTACTATGGGCCCTGCAGCGAAGAGCCTCAAAAAGGAACCCCCGTTTGTTGAAAACCCCTGATTGTTATCAATGCGGGGTCTTGCAATTTAATGAGGACAGGGGTGCTAGGAGCTGCGCAGGATTGGCAGGACAGGGCCGAAGTGTTACCCAACATTGGACCTAAACTCCCCTATAGTTACTAGATGTTACTAGTGTGGATTACACACCGCTGCTTCGCAATGCCTACCCAGCCGGGTTTGCGAGCTAAGAAGATGTTTGTTCGGCGGTCGTGGGGGCTCCAGGTCAGTCTCTCCTGCTTGGTGATTTAGTGATAGACATCAAACTCCAATCTCAAGACAAGGGCTGAATAAGGCCATTCCAAGTTTTGCTGCCCCGGGTTTACTCCGCAAGATGGGGACCCTTGGAGTTGGATTGTTGAATTTGTGTTGCGTCCAGCCGGAGGAGCCTGCATGCTGACACATCTTGAACTGGAACAATGGGATACTGTCACGTTTTAGGGGGGCATGGTTTTCGTTATTCACTGTTTCAGCAGGATCCCATCGGTACAGCTACCCAGCCTCTGATGCCTTCTTTGTCTAGGCCAACACATTCTTCCAATGCGTCGCAACTTCTCGGTCTACGCAGTACAAGCCAATAAGTTGAAACATCAGCATCCCCACACAACAACCTGGACAGAGACACGCAGTGTATGTCATTCAGTTCAAAGAGGCAAGGCTGACATGCATCATCCGATCTCAAAATTCCAACTTTCTCACTTTTACAGCAATAAATGAGCCCCGTATCCCATCACGTTCGGAATCCCAGCTGCAAATTCTCGACCTTTTTGGCCGTGTCTTTTTGTGGGGCGCCCTCCCAGGCCAATGGCTGCGCGAGCCGCACGGCCGCTTGCCTAGTGCCATTGAGGGTTTTGGATGTATGATTTAGGAATGGGGGTTCAGTGTTTCGGACTTGGAGTTAATGGTGCTAGAGCCTAGGATTCGGCTTTAGGGTTTTTGGGGTTCGGGTTTTCAGTTTAGTTTTGGGGAGAGAGTTCGGCCTCAATGCAGACCCCACGGGTGAGTGGCTTCCACCTCTCTTGCGCTCCTTCTCTCTATGCAGGATCAGATCGAAGAAGGGACGGCCCACAGCTAATAGGCACGAGAACATGTTTATGTGTTGCATTCTCTCGCATCTTAGCGGTGTATCTATGAGTCCATGCGACCGTAGCGGCCACCTTCCAACGCAGGACTGACTGCCGAGAACCCAAGCGCGTCGGCAGTCCGTGTAAAGGACTGTAAAGTAGTAAATGCTCTCCAAACCCTTTTCCAATCAAACAGGCCCCTGCATGAAGTTACGGCTCTGCCCTCTCCCAATTGCAATAGTCCTCAAACAAGGAAACTAAACCGGCATTGCAGAAACCTGCATTTGCAGGTATAGCAGGTCTTCTCCTCAAAGTATGCAGCTGTATGCTACTCGCTCATTTCCTGCCCGCTCAGCATTTCTACGCTATGTCAATCAAAGGGGCCTGATCGGAATCAACGAGCTAGAGCTGATCATGAAAAACGAGCAGGTCATGGGTCTCTGGAATGGCCGGACGGGTTCCGCCCTCAGGGGCTAAGGCTGGGAGGAGGCCTAAATAAGCTAGGTTGCCGCCAAGGAACGTCAAGTAGGTTGCCATAATATGGGTATATCTTGAACATAGGGTTTCCTTGCCGTGGTAACTTAATCTAAGTTCCGTAACAGCAAGCCAAACTCAGCAAGTGTACCGACGGCACAGCGGTTCTGTGGCAGCTTTTGCGAGTCTACACGGGTCCAAACTTGAGGTTTGCATATGGAGGGGTGTCTTTGGGTTTCGGGTTAACGGCCGGAATAGAACAAGGAAGTGGATGCTATTAAATGGAGGGAGCATCAAATGGAAGGGAACATGAAAATTGAAGGGAATGGGGTCTATAGGGATTAGGGTTTACGGTTTTCTTGCCTCTAGTTGGCGATGAAAGAATGCAAGAGAAAATGGAAGCTCCTGTATGTCAGGGTGTATTATATTGTGGGGACTACTGCAAGAATCCAGTCCTTCCTGGCTTGCTAACCAAGGGTAGGTAAGAGCGCCCAAAGAATCTCGGACCATACAGACCGCATCTTCTTTGAACAAAAGCCTTGTTCCTCCCTGACATATTGTGGGAGCTTCGGAAAAGTTAGGGGTCCGTGAGAAATATCCCGACCTGGGTTCATTCGGCAGAAACTCAACGAAGCGTGCCCTCACAGTCTTCAAAGCTGAACAGGAGTGCCTACGAAGGCCAATGGCGTGATGGCCATGCTGCGGCCTGAGGCTGTACCTTGCACTAGCGTTGTCTAACCTGAAGCGCAGTGGGTGTTCCTCAAAGTAATCTTTAAACTCTACATTGATCGTTCCGGACGACACACTCCTATAGATAGATAGATGGATAGATAGGCTTGCGGAGTCTCTTGAATCGAAGGTCTACAACGGTCTGATACAAAGAATTCTGGTACCTGTCCAGCAGTCCCACCTAGCTGACCTAGCTCAAAGCCTGTGAGCAAAATGCAGTTCACGCCATAGTCTTTTAAGTTTCTCCTCCCGCCAGCCCTCCGCAACCTCCCAGGCAGAATCTCTTCCGGATTGTTTTTCGAAGCGCGGTTTCATTTCCTGTCGTACCGCCGTAGTTTCACAACCCAATGCATGTCTTTCACGACTTGTTGAAATCAATTCGAAAGCTGCAAGAGGAAAGCAGAACGGATAGAGCGCAAAAGCATATTACTGTTGTGCAGCCTCCCGCGTTAGCTTGTGATTGTGCGGCAGGCAGACTGTTTGCCTGTCTTTGGTGGCGGGCGCTAATAATGCATTGCAGATGAATTGTGAGTTCTCCGACTGCATGACCCGGAAAGGTGTTGTTGTCATGATCTCTTGTTCGCACGACCTCCGCTAGAGCACAGATGATGAGCAAACTGTAGCAGCAGAAGCGAGGTGCATGGAAATGGCACCTGGAAGAACCCGCAGGCGCGGGTCGTGTAGGGTTTTGGTGGGCTTCGGGTTTTCGTGTTTTATTGAAGGGCACCTGATACCAACTCGATTTGTTGAGCATCTTCCTGATTGCAGGGGAGAAAGAGACAGCAGAAAAGGCTGACGGTTTGGGGTTTGGCAGCAGAAGCCTCACCAGTTCGTGCCAAACGCCTTGCAGATCTGAGGGTTTGTCACTGCCCCTCCCCAACTTCAAGACTTCCCGGCAGCCTCTATAGCCAAAGCGCTGCAGGACGGCTCAATCTTCCAAGGACAGTTCGCAGAGGGCTGCAACAGCCTCAGCTGCGGCGAGAATGATGTGGG